GTATTTTATATGATTCGAATGGTAATATTGCTTGAAAACCCAACTTTTAAGCCTTGCCACTTTACGTCTTTACTTTTTATCTCAGTGGTTTGGCTCAGTATCCGTTCACGGCCCTCTGCGTGGAAGCCAGTAATTTTGAATCAATAACGACTATAAAAAATCGAGCTACGGGCTGATTATCTTTGCCCGCCTGTTATCAGCTCTTGTGACTGCCCTGAAACCGAGAAAATTTGACTTGGTCGTATCGGCTCATGCTCTGACTGCAATGTTTTTGTCTCTCCCATTTCACTCGCTAATCACCCGTGCACCTTTGATCGCCTTCCCACTCTGGCGTACACTTGGACAGATTTACGAGTTCTTGGCTTTTGCCGCGCCCAAAGAAGCGCAGGCACCCCCGTGTTCATTTTGATCATCCCATCCGTCAACCTCTTGCTGAGTTGAATTCCGGCTTTCCCCAATTTTAGGCTGCTCTGCAAACGGCACTTTGACCACGCTCCGCCCATTGAGGGCGGGTCTAAACCCGCCTCAAATCCCCTTAAATTTCCTTACATCTTACCCTTTTCCTCCAATTGTTCTTCAGTTCCAGAACCGTTCAAAATCGTCTCCTTGTTAGTAGCGGGCACCGTCCATGGCGGTTATGTTGAGTCATCTCATCCGCCTACCAGTGACTGACCTGACACTTCATTTGAACTTCTGTACTCTCCTGTGACCTAGTAATGAGTTTCCCTATGACGCCGCTCGCAGTGAAAGCCCGCCCACCATGGGAGGAGCTTAGCTCGGTTCATGTGTGAATTGTACATCTTGCCCCACGTTCTACTCCTACCAACCGTGACTTTCCTTCTGGAACTGGCTCTTCAGGTTAACCCGTATTTCCTGACACTTAAGCAAACAAGCAAACAGACTTATTGAATTTTACATGGTAGGGACCATATGTCACGCGGTCTGCAGCGGCAAGAATCAGTTGATAAAAAGCGGCCAGATGTGCGAGTGTTTTCTTCGTCAGCATTACAATTTCGATGGAGATGAAGATAGTGAATCATCCGAAGGAACTAAACGACCCCTAGTAATGATACAGAATTTCCGCATATCAAATTCTATGTGCAGATCCTCCTCAACCAACAGCATTTTTATTTCTAACATCTTCCTTTTTTTATATTTCATTTGGTTTTCCAGCAGTGTTTTTCATTCCTCTTCTATCTGGTTCAGTAATCTATCTGGTTCCACTGTCCCTCCTCAACGAATCGAGCGGAGGGAATGGGGGGGGGGAGGTGGTAAATAGCACATGTGAAACAGGAAAAGCCGCGAGACAATACGACCCCCCCCCTTCTACCAATTCTCAGATTTTCCCCAACTTTCTGCCACTTTTTCCAAAATTCCCGAAAACTTCCCTACTTTTCCCCAAAAATTTTGCTGTCGAGCGGGGAGGGGGTATATACTACACATGAAAAAGGAAAATCACGAATCACGAAAAGTCAACCACCACTCCCGACCACTCCTAGAAACCCAAAAAGTGAAATACGACCCTCCTCCCCTCCCAACAATGAGCAAGTACGACCCCCCTTTACAACGTCCGTGAAGCGAGAAAAATCAACTATCAAAATAAATTTTTCTCAGCCCAAATACGACCCCCCCTCCTGGCGGCCAATACGACCCCCTGTTGGGGATTCCCCAACAACGATTTGCCCTGGGTCATGCACAAGAGGGTATGCAAGCGATTCAAGGATGTAATGCCATGAGTCACTTGCGCCATGGCACGGTTATCGACCGGCTGCTGCGGCTCGTTGCATGACTTCATGAGCTTTCAAGCATGAGCTGTTGCGAGACCTCTATGCGGGAAATTGTTTCTGTGATAGCAAAGCATCGAAACATGAAACGTGGCAAGCCATGGGTTGGGCTTCCAGGAGAGGGTCAACCCTGTGGGTGAGTAACTAAATGCAAGTGGCACGGTAACTTCCCAATACGTGAGAGAATTGAGCGCTCCTGAGCAGGTGCTGAGTGGCACCTTTTCCAAGGAAGGTACCTTATCTCCTTAGCGCCGTTCCCTAGCTGCAACGTACCTACCCGAACGCCTATCGCGCCCCGTCGCACCCGATACTGCGCTCGTATCGCTTCATGCGAAGTACTATATGAAGCGAAGGAACTGATATGAAGCGGCTGCGATACTGCATGGATATATGAGTACATATACGCTGCCGTATATGTCTAGTGTGGTCACTATGCGAACGGGAAACTCGTCCGAAACTGCTGTCTGACAATGAGTCCTGTAGAACAAAGGTTTTTCTTGGGGATTTTTGCCGCTTCACTTCACTTTCTCGTCATTTTCCCACCATTTAGCACCCCTGCTTCATAGCCGAGTACCAAACCACCGCGCCCTATGCCTTTAAGGACACGGTCCCCGACAATGAGTCAATGCGTATAGCGTACCGAGATCCTGACAGAAGCCATTCTCGTGCGTGCGATTGTGCGAGGAAGAATTTTGTCTAGATAAGGGCAATTGAAAGTCGTTAGAAAAAGCATGAATCGGAAGTTTGAAATCATGTCGAAAATAATGCGCACTGCGTTCGACACGTTGAAGACAAACTATATACTTACCTTCTGGAATCCTAGTCCTAGCCATGTGCGAGGGGAATGTGTCAGTAGCTGCAGTAGCATGTCTTCCCAGGAAAGTTCACGGTAAATGGGCGGGGTATGGGCAATGATACCCGGGCGCTGTTCTTGGACTCTGCCAGCGCTGCCGCACGGGGCCACACGCATAACCATTGCGAAAGGCATAACTTGTCTGCGGGTTCCACTACCCCCAGCCTTGTTTTCGCGCGCTCTTTAATGGTGATAGAATTACACATGTATAGCTGCCAGCCCGTTCATCTCGACAAGGAAAAGACCATCCTTCAAGGTGAGGGTACAGCCTGCATTGAAAAGACGGCCACTATGAGCGCCTCAGTACCCATGATTTATCTATCAGCAAGTACAGCACCATCAAGGAATCGTTTGAAGGCACACAGCTCAAGTTAGCTGGTCGGTAGAGCCTCACTCTTATAAATCGCAGAGATTATCCTTTTTTGTGGCTTGACTGTGAGTGCCGCCTGCGCTGAAGATCGCATTAGGCACAGGATCGTCCCTCTTCCACCCACACCCCCCCCCCCACCTACTAAATAGTGCAACCATGCTCCCTTCAGGGACACATCGTTGTTGGGAAATCCTCAGCAGGGGAGGGGGGGGGGCGTAATTGGACGCAGGGAGAGGGG